ATTAACAATGGGAGAGACAGGAATATGGTCTCCAACCTCAAACCTCTAGCAATTTTATAGTACTACTTCTAACCCTTAATTTTTTTTCCTCCCTTCTTTTCATTGTTTTATCAGGTTCACATGAATAACAGCTTCCTTTCAATAGCAGCCGCTCAAAATTGCCAGCTAAGTACCCTAATCGGTACTATCATGAGTTCAAATCATCATTCACTTCCACATGTAACCTGACTTAATCACCTCTCCCTCTGACCATGTCCATTTGGTGGGATAGGCAGAGGGAATCAGCCTGAAATACTGCAGGGGGTACAGCTTAGACAGAGCAAAACACTTCCTCCTAGGCTATAAGAAATTATCTTGTGAGATTCAGGTTTAGTCTACTAACTCAGTACAGTTCTGTTTTGAAGCAGAGCTCTACCACTCTTGTTCTACTATTGATTTCTACTACGTTCTTTCACTGCAAGTTATGACGTGCACAGCTCGAATCTCCTGACTCACTGTACCCCACCAGATAAAGTAAACTGACAGGAATCAGTAATGACAGCATGCATTGCTTCTGACATCATACTGTTCCCTGCCGCACCATCCTGATGGCTAGCGAAATCATAAGTCCTTCCCATTGATGCCCATTCTTTCCCTCACACTTAAGGTAATCAAAGTTACTAGATGACAAATAGGAAAAAAAAAAGGCATCAGTTCACCACATTAGCTTTCATTTTGCTAAGCTAAATAGGTGCAATTATGTGGTCCAAGACAAAGTCACTCATATTAGCAAGTTGAATGGAAGCATAATTATTTTAACACCTATTTTCCCATAATAACTTTTCTTAGAAGCAACAGATTTAATCATAATGGACCTGTACAATTAAGCCCTCAGCAGACTACTCACTACAACTCACCCGACCCTGCACCAGCAACGTCTCTTTTTTACACAGGTACTTTTCATTCAAGAATTTCTGAAGCACACCTGCTCTTGATTTCAAGGAGAATCAAGAGCATGTGTGGATCAGTAAAGGCAAGTGGTAACTAGAGGCACGTGGCTTTTTCCTAGTTCTACCACTGAAGCTCAGAAAGGTGTCCCATAACAGTATTTTTTTTTTTAAATAAAAAGTGTTTGGCGCTGACAGATCCAAGTACAGTTCAAACCATGGAACAAGAAATACTGGCATGAGCGTTTTACCTGTGTTTTATTCAGCCCTGCTGAGAGTTGATAGCTTAAAGGCTAGGAAATGCCATTACTATGAGAACTGTCATTGCCAGCCATGGAGCTGCACAGAAGATAGCATTAACAAGGCCTTCTAGCTTTTTACCTACTCTGTACCTCACCTTGTCCACTCAGTCAATAAGTTCATCGATGTCTGCAAAGCACTTCAAGTTTCCTAGGTGAATTTCCCAACTCACACGCCCAACTAAGCATCCCAGACGGAAATGGCTTACAAGTTTTCAATATGCTGCAAATCTTTCCTCCACAGAGGCAAACTGAGATGCTGACCAGGATGACTATAAACTCACCAGTTCCCCGCCTGTCTCGTACTGAAATCTCATGGCAGTCTACAGCCAAACGAGTGCATAACGGGTAATATTTGTCAGGTGCAAGGTATAGAGATGCTTCAGCAGATTTCCCCCATCTTATTCCTCAGTCCTTGAACATTAAAAAAATAGGTAATCTGCTAATCAAGAACTTCCACAAAAGCTGTGGAAAAGGAACATTGGCAGGTCTGCACAGACTCAAAGTCTCATAAACAGCTGTTTAAGACTGTCATATCTTAGCACAATGCTGTGGCTTCGTTAACTCGGTAATCCATGAACATCCTCTGTGAAGAGCTCTCATCTTCAACTGTCCTAAATTATAAGGGACTTTTAAACCAATATTTATGTTTTGTCCATTCCAAACATCGAATAATCTGATTCTTTACAAAAATCAGGCATTTTTAATGACTAAAACTATAAATCAGGAGAAAAAAATAGGAAGAAAAAATCTGCAAATCAGCAAGCCTCCTCTTGGTATCTCTGGTTGGTTCTATCAGTTAGATCCTCTGCTGTGTATACTGAGATCACATCCAGGTTTCAGCTTTGGCAAGTTTGTGAGAGTTATATAATCCTTTTTAAAAATGAACAAAAATCCTAGAATCTAGAATTTTTGTCATCATTACCTAAAATAAACAAATCATCGGAGGATGTGCTTTCAATGTATTACAAAGTAAACATAAAGAAGAACAGTTATCTGAGGAACTATTTTTAACTCTGACTCTTTATTGTTCTAAACTGATATCACAAAACACTCACCATAACACTGCCATTTCAAAACACAGGAAAAACTAATACAAGAACACTGTCTACAGCTACAAGTCCCCCCACAGGTCTGAAATTGGAGAGAAAAACATAGTGTACATCATCTCTCTCAAGACAGGCTATCGCTATGAAGTTCTTCTGTAGCGCAAGTTACCAAATTACATTTACAACTCAGCCTGCGATTCCTCCCTCTTCAAGGACCTGGACCTCTCTGAGCTGTATATTGCTGCTTATGCTAGATCAGCAGTCATCATCTAAACCAAGGCATTCACATTTGTTCCCTTTCCAGTTGGAAGCAAAAGTCATTTCATCCTTTTACAAAGGCAGTGCTATTTCATCCAGTACCAAAGTGACTTGGGCATTCACTGAGGCTGTGGGAGGCACAAGCCACATGTTCTCCTAAACCTGCGAGGATTCAAACCCATACATCCCCTAACTCTGAGGAGAGCACCTCACCACCTCATGCTTCAGGGGGAAGGGCCGTCTTAACTCCTCTCAAAGGGTTTCCCCTTCGCAAAGAGGAACCTGGGACTCATTGGACCAAGGAGCTGCTTCTGCAGCTCCACTGAGGCACCCTCCTGGGGCGGGAAGAGACGGAAGCCAGCCCACACCCCACGGACCATGGCAGGGAACAGATGAAGAGAAATACCTTACGGCGCTTGTGCATGCATAAACGTGAAGTAAACGTCAAGTTGCTCTCCCCTGCCAATGGAAGGACAGTGCTTGGCATGCGCACAAGCAGCACTTGCGGCATGTATGAGGGGTGAGCGTGCGGGCACCTAAATTCAAAGTCCTTTCAGAGACCTGGGCTTTGACTTCTTTCTGGCTTTGTTTGCCCCCAGCAAAAAGGGAATAACAGTACCTAGGGATGCTATGCTATACTTGCAAAGACTCATATTTTCAGCTGTTATGATACCATGTGTCATAAATATTCTTAAAATAGTGTTTTGGGGCAACAGAAAGACAGAAAAAGGCAGCAGTTTCCAAAAAAAAAAGAAAGAAAGAAAGAAAAACCAGTTAAAATTAGTTTCTATCAGTGCAAATTCACAAGGCCTACGGCTAACATTTGTCATTGTATTACTGCATTTTCATATCGAAGAAAACATGATCTCCTCTCCTGTTTTGCTCTATGACAGGCCTAGGGAGGCTAGTGGTCTGGAAGCTTTGCCAGCTTCCCTCCCATCTAATCTGCAGATGGGCCCTTTACAAGGGGACCACATCTTTTCAGAGAGTCTACCTCTTGAAAGCAGATTACCAAGAGTGCCAAATCATGACTTAGAGCAAGTCTTGTGAAATTCAGGGCTTTTTTTCCTTCAGTTCCTAGCTGCCGAGGGTCCGATCACATGAGAATCTCATTCTTCTGGCGAGTTTTAAAGATCCCTGCTCACAAAACTAAGTCTGGAAATAGGACTCAAACACATACTCTTAAGGTTCAAAACCCAGAAGACAGAACTAAAATTCCGACTTTTCTCACCCAAACTTGTAATTTTTAGGACACTGTTGTCAATACTGGGATCAGGCTCTTAAATCTCACTTACTGATTGCTGGCTGTCCTTTTGTGCCAGGCGCTATCCAACATACAGTAGGTCCTTTCCACACACTACCAACGCTCTAAATAGAAAAAGCAGGACCTACGAACCATTATCCCCACGAGAACAGGAAGAACTGGGGATAAAAGACTCAGTGATTTGCGGTAATACCCAGTAAGTCTATCACTGAGCCAGGATCTCAAGCCTGTTCCAAGACTATCCTTACCATCATTTTAGAAATAAATGAGTTAAGTGATGTTAAATACCAACAAACAGAAATCAATATTAGAATGAATTACTGTGACCACAGAAATAGATGCTAGCATTACCCAAGACCAAAAAAACAAAAACATACCCTTGATAATAAGAAATAATGACCATCTGCAAAGCCCTGTGAGGATACTCTCAGTCAGGCCTTGTGTAAAAAGCCTCATCTTTTCCAGCAACTAGCTTCCAATTACTCAGTGGTGGCATTTTACTGAAATCTAACTTTCTAATCTCCCAAATAGTGCAAACTGGTCTCATCCAAGGGTGTTTTTTTTTTTTTGATAAGAAATACAAATACATTTCTAACGGAACAATTTACTATAGGTGCTTAGAGAGCATATGTACAAAAATTTGTAAAGTTACACAGCAATGCATTAGTAATTTACTACCACCTATCTAAAGTGTACGATTCTTGGCTTAAGTACAGTTAAGTAGGTAAGATAGCAGGTGGCTATACATGTTTACAGCCAAAAGTACTTCCGAAGGATTCACTGAAATCTGCAGGACACAAATGCAGAATTTTGGTAGCAGTACAACTTGTTTAAAACACTCCACATGCTTTTCTAGGGCAATCAGAGTAGATCCCACTACGCTTAAAAACAAGGGTATAATCAATGCATTAATTTTTTTATCTATTTAAGCCCTGGCAGAAAAGTTTACTAAGAAATACATCCATGTAATGCACTAATTTTCATCTGTTATGGATGGGTAATTTTTTGTAGTAGTAACTTTTGCACATCAGAAAACCATAAAGAACTTGAAATCGTACCCCTAAGGACCTAAAACCTATAATGCAGAAAGAAGAGTCACTGCGGTAGCAAATTATGCCCATGCTAATTATCCCCGGGGTCTGCAGTCACAACCACGAACCTGAACGAACCACATCAACGAACAATTCCAGCAACGCTCACTCACCCAGCAAAGAGCCTATAAAGATGACAACTTGCACGGCGGTAGTGAAGTGCCTGTAGGTTTGCTCTTCGCTGTGCTCCTCGTTTTGCAAGGCAGCAATCCCACTGGCGTTCCTCCTGTTCCACACAACTTGTGCCGCAGACACGTTCCTAATTTCCACAGCTCTGGTGACAGCTTGGTAGAGGAGGGCATGCTCGCCTTCGCTTTTCAAAACCCAGCTTCTGTTGTACCCCATGGCGAGGTTTCCTTCTTCCTCCTCACCGCCTAATGATCACACACGACTGAACCTGGGCCCTGCCACCCACCGAGCACCCAAGCGAGGAAACGCTTTTATGCATACAGCCCGGTCTGTCACACTCGGGAGCATCTTCCTCACATTTCTGTGCCCTGGAAAGCAGGCTTGGCTTCTCATGTTTCCACCTTGCAAATCATTATATCCAGAAGAGAAAAGAAAATAAAGCAGGCTCTTCCTTGCTATTAGTTGTCCCATATTTCTCACTTCTCAGTGCCTCGGCATGTATTACTGCAATAAACACGACCGAGAAAAACGCAGTCCCCCCCGCAGTTCATCCTCCTAACCCCACCAGCTTCTCTGCCCCCCACACACCTCGCTATGCATTAAAATGGGTTTGCAAAACTTGATGAACCACAAGCTCTGTCCCCCCTCTCCGTTCTCCGCCTTTGCATCAGCTTTTTCACCACCTCGCGAGAGAGAAAGCCTCTCTTTCCCAGTGACGAGTCTCCCCGAGCTCTCTCGACTCAATCTCTCCACTTTTCCTACTGTGGAAAAATGAATTACTCTTGCATGCGCTCCGGCTCTGCGCGACACCTGATGAACAAGCGGACCCTCACAGAGCGTCCAGAGGGAGTAAGCGAACGGTCAGTGGCTTCCGCAGCGCACGAGCTGTTTCTCAGGAAAAAACGGTTTGTTTTCCGATTCCAAGCCAGAGAGCACTCCGCTCTTCACTGCGGCCAAAAACCTCCGCGTCATCCTACGCGGCCTCCTGCCGGGGTCCCCCAGCTCGAGCACAATTCTCTTTACAACCTGTAATACCGATACGTGCGCAGGCAGCCGACTAACACGGCCACGCCGCACG